CACATTTTGGAGGAAAGCCTCTTAATTCTTAAATACACTAGCCACATGATTGATTAAGTATTAATTATTGTGTGTGTGTGTGTGAGAGAGAGAGAGTGAGAGAGAGAGTGAGAGAGAGAGACAGACAGACAGACAGACAGACAGACAGACAGACAGAGGGGGGGGAATAGAATAGGATTCTGGAGATCACAGAGCCCTGAGCATGCTGCATAAGCTCTTCTCCACTTAGCTGTACTCACAGCCCTTTGTTGGTCAAGACAGGGTTTCTTCATCAAGCTTAGGTTGGCCTTGAACTTTATGACTAAATGAAACTCCATTATAGGGAGTGGGGGGAGATTTATAGCCTAACTGGTAGAGTCCTTGCCTAGTATGCAGAAAACTCTAGATTGAGTCACCAGAACAACATAATCTAGGTGATGACACATGCCTGTCATCCTAACACTAGGGAGATAGATCAGAATTTCAAGGTCATCCTAGCTACATAGTGAGTTCTAAGTCAACCGGGGCTACATGAAACACTGTCTCAAAAAAACCCACTGTGTGTATGTACCATATTTTCTTCATTTATGTCTAGAAGAGAAAAATACACTCTGTATAGAAGCCAGGTTCCAGATAGCCAGAACAACCCTGAGTAAAAAAAGAAGGAAGCCAGAGGAATCGCTGTACCAGATTCCAAGTTACTCTGCAGAGCTATCATTATTAAAAAAAGGAAAAAAAAAAAAAAAGACACGTGGACCCACAGAATGGGATTGAGGACTAGAGGACGAAGAAATAAAGCCACACAGTTAGAGATCCCCCTTGTTACTTGTATTATGTGTGTGCTACATTATTTTATTGTGTGTGTCAGTATAAAGGTAGATGTTTTTAGAGCTGAAAAGCCCTTGCTGGCTTGACTGTCAGGGGGCTTTATTTTGAAGACTGAAGAGCCCTTTGAGCTAAATTAGTTCAGGAAGGCAACACTCTTGTGCCCTTCTCAGGGGTGCTTGGAATGAGAACTCCTCCAGGCTTCTTGGAGAGATAAAAGAAGTTTGAATACCCAGATAAAGACAATTTGCTGAGACAAACAGCTCCCTGGGTTACCAGGTGAATTTCAGGTGAACCAGGCGGTGCAGGGGACGGTGCTGGGGGCAGCCACCTCAATGCTCAGCTGTGTTCCTAGGGTAGACGGTAGGCCTCCAGAGTCACTTTTACAGGTCCCCCATAGTTTTACACTTCTGCACTTTGTGAAGAGGGGTTCCATTTGCTAGGATAGCCTCAGCAATACCCACCACATGGTTAACTTGGAAGGGCACAGACAAGAGAAGCAAATAGGAGCCCAGAGGCAGCTCTGGGAAACCCAGCAGAAGGGAGGAGAGGTAACAATAATGACTGATGGCATTTCTCAGAATTCAAAAGGAGAGAATACAGCAGACTGCACGGCATGGGAATGAGGAAATGAAGGAAGATGCCATCCTAAGGAGGCATTTTTTATTCACTTTATAAGTAGAATTAATAGTAAATACAGCTGACTTTCAGGAAAATTATTTTAATTGCAGAGTGAGTGGGACTAATAAAAACTGAGGGAAATCATCGTGATTTTGGAATTATTCATATAGACGGGAGAGAGCGTTTGAATAAGGAAGCTGATAGTAAGGGTGAGGAACTGGATGTTCAAGGGTCACTGGAAACCAGAAAATTGAATATTAATTTGCTATGGAAAAGAATAAGAGAGAGGGAGCTGAGGAAGACCTCAGGAGCTGACAGGCCTATTACCAACAAAGAAAAGGACAGCTACTGCTTTTAAAGATGGGAAGTTAACCAGCCAGCAGCATCCAAGTGGGTCTGTATAACAGATAGAATTGCAGGTCAGCGTTGACTAGAAATTCTGGAGGCATCAGGGTTAAAACTGCACCCGCCGGTGGAGATGTGAAGTTTTGCAGGAAGGAAACCAGGTGTGCAACTTGCGGACTTCCCCAAATGTAGTACAGAGGAGGGGGCAGTGGCCACAGATAGGTTGCAGGAGTGAGAAGCCAGGAACAAAGGCAGCTTCAGCTTCCCGAGAGCCCAGAGAGAGCCCTAGGAACTTTACTGCAAGGGGAGGTTACAGGATCATTGATTTAATCACCAAGTTCCTCACCAGTATGAGAAGTAGCAGGACAGCCAAAGCTGATTCTTATCATGTATAGTTCTTACTGTTGAATAGACAGAATAAGTAATGTAAGCGCAGACACCCCTTCTGCACACCTGCACATACACACCTAAGAATTCTATTCTGAAAGACCTAGCTGCTATGGCTGTGCTCTGTCTTTCCCCTCAGGATTTCTGTAACCAGCTGTGCAGTGTGCTGCTCTTGGGTTGGGCAGAGGGGGGAAATCTCAGGAACAATTCAGAAAGTAAGAAGAGTACTTTATTCTAGGATGTGGATTTCAACATGGTTATGCCTTACTTTACAGCTAATATCCACTTACCATGTTTGTCTTTCTGGGTCTGGGCTACCTCACTCAGGATGATTTGTTTCTAGTTCTATCCATTTGCCTTCAAATTTCCTGGTGTCATTGTTTTTAACGTCTGAATAATACTCAACTGTACCACACTTTCTCTATCCACTCTTTGGTTGAGCAGCATCTAGGTCGTTTCCAGGTTCTGGCTATTACAAACAAAGCTGCTATGAACATAGTTGAGCAAGTGTCCTTGTGGTATGATTGAGCTTCCTTTGCGTATATGCCCAAGAGTGGTATAGCTGGGTCTTGAGGAAGATTAATTCCCAGTTTTCTGACACATGGATTTCCCTGGGCAGGGGAAATAGAAGAGATGTCCTGGGTAGATTCGGGGAGTGAGCAATTGAGGGGTGGGTAGAAGGGAGAGTAATGAAAGAGATAACTTGATGGGGGCATTTCAGGCTCAGGTAGAAACCTAGTACAAGGGAAACTCCCATAAACCTATAAGGATGACCCAGCTAAGACTCCTAGCAATAGTGGATAGGTAGCCTGGATTGACCATCTCCTGTAATCAGATTGGTGGCCACCCCAGTTGTCATCAGAGAGCCTTCACCCAGATGCGCTGGGCTGGGCCCAGGGAATCCTTTTGAGGAGAGGGAAGAAGAATTGTACAAGCAAGGGGAGTCAAAGTCATCACAGGGAATTCACAGAAGCAATTGACCTGCTCATGGGCGCTCACAAACTATGGACCCACAGCTAGGGAGCCTGCATAGGACAGCCTAGGCCCTATGCCCATGTGCAATGGTAGTGTGGCTTGGTCTGCTCTGGGACTCCTGGCAGTGGGAATGGGGCCTGACCCTAACGCTTGACTGGCTCTTGGCAACCTGTCCCTAAAGCTGGGTTGCCTTGCCCAGCCTCAGTACAAAGAAAGGATCTTAGTCCTACCTCAACTTGCTATGCCATGCTTTGTTGGCACCCATGGGAGGCCTGGCCATTTGTAAGTTGGGGAGGGGCGCAGGAGGAGGGAATGGGAGAGATGGGGGAAGCTGTGGTTGGGTTGTAAAACAATTGAAAAACTGTAATTAATTTTTAAAAAGGAGCATTTTGCATGTAAACTGTGCACTTCTTAACTTCTGGTGGTGGGAGCTCCTACTGCTGGGGTGTGGAGATGGTGATGCATTTGCCCACTGCCATAGAGGCTGCACATTCTCACTTTGAGTAGTTTAATTTTGCTTCAGAGCAATATAGCCTTTGGAGAACCATTGATTTGTCGCCATAAAATGTCTTGCTTGTACCTTTTTTTTAAATGTCATGTTAGAGATTGACTCTAGGGTCTCACAAATGCCAGGTAAGCACTCTACTTGTCATTTGTATCACTAACCCTGTCTACTTTTTTATACAGCTTTTGAGCCGTAAGATGACTCAGCAGGTATAGAAGCCTGCCACAAAGCCTGGCGACCCAAGTTTAATTCCAGGGACTCACACTGTGGAAGAAGAAAACTGACTGACAACTAGTTCTCTGTCCTACACGTTTGCTGTGGCACACAAAACACACACACACACACACACACACACACACACACACACACACACACACACACACACATACACACACACCACAATGTAATTAAAGAAAAAAACCCTTCCTGCATACTGATATAGATTCAGGGTGTTTGTTTCTCTGACTGTAGATCAAGTTGTATAATAAGAGTCAGTGGTTGCCGGGCGTTGGTGGCGCACGCCTTTAATCCCAGCACTTGGGAGGCAGAGGCAGGCGGATCTCTGTGAGTTCGAGGCCAGCCTGGTCTACAAGAGCTAGTTCCAGGACAGCCTCCAAAGCCACAGAGAAACTCTGTCTCGAAAAAACCAAAAAAAAAAAGAGTCAGTGGTTAAAAGTATGTATCGAGACAGGTGATGTTGGCACACTGTTTAATCCCAGCAGAGGCACCCTACTCTGTCCTCTGGCTTCTCTAGGCACCAATCCCATGCACTGTATGTGTATGCACATACAACCAGACAAAACACCCATAAAATAAAACAAGTCTGATTTAAAAAATATGTAAGGATAAGACTTTCTTAACATGAAAGCCTTCCAGCAAACAGAAAGTGTGTTCATTCATTCAGTGTTGTTACTTGTGTTCCGCCTGAATGTTCTTAGAGCCATACATGACTGGGAAGCAGAGTGATGGACATAGGCTGTCTCTTAGTATGCCTAGCAGTGAGTGGCTGAAAAACTGCTTCCAGAACTAACCTTAGCAAAACCATATGAAAGCTTAACAAAGTAACAACAATACCATTTTCAGGACTGCCTGCTGGCTGCATTTCTTTGTCTGTCTGCCTGTCTGTTTGTTTGTATGAGATGGGGCCCCACTGAGCTCACTGGTCTGCAGCTCATGGGTTCAAGTAGTGATCTTCCTGCCTCAACCTCCTGAGTAGCTGGGGTTACAGCAGGTACTACCGTGCCTGGCATATGCCTGTCCTTTAAGAAGCCTCACAAGTCTTCACACCAGTCTTGGGTTTTGTTCCATTTTGGTGAGATATATTGGAAGAGTCATATAATAGCTTTGACTTTGTGTCTTGCAGCTGCTAGGTGAGCTGATCTTGGACCGCCACAATTTCTCAATTATGACCAAGTACATCAGCAAGCCAGAGAACCTGAAACTGATGATGAACCTGCTTCGAGACAAAAGCCCTAACATCCAATTTGAAGCCTTCCATGTCTTTAAGGTAAAGAGCTGATAACTTGGTATGTTTTCCTCCAACTTGGAAATGGCAAAGTACCTACTTTTTCCTTTCCTTTACTTGAGAGAAAATTAAACGATCCTTTTGTTTTGCAAACTTAGGTTATAGTCTCCCACTAATCTTATTGCAGAAAACTATTACTTGAGTGATAGCTACAGCTGGACAAATTTGCCTCTGGCCTTTACATATAAATTTGTAAATTTAGAGAAGTTTGACATCTGCAACAAGCTGACCTAACCTCAGAGGGCCTGCAATCCACTACCATGCAGTAAGATAAGCAGTTGTTTTCAAATTAAAATCAATTGAAGAATAAACTATGTCTGGCCTCTGTAGTATTCACTAGAAGCCAAGAGGATGGAAAACGCAGTGAGGCCATGCTTCGTGGAGGCCACCATACTTAGCAGTTCAGTGCTTCCTTCATAGGGCTAGAGAGATAGCTCATAGCTTAAGAGCACTTGCTACTCTTCCAGAGGACCCAAGTTCAGATTAGATTCCAGCACCCACATGTGGTTGTTGACTTCCATCTGTAATTCTTGCTCCAGGAGATTTGGTGCCTCTGGTCTCTGAAGGCGCCTGCAGTCATATGCACATGCTCATATGCAGACACACATACTGACACATAACTAAAAATAATTTTAATAAAAGAAAGGCTTATTCCCCGCCCCCCCCCCCCCGTAGATTAAATGGAAGGCCGAAGTGCTGGCTTCTGCTTTCACCTGTCCCCTCTTTGACCCCAAGCAATGTCCTGAAGCTATACCCAGCTCCCAGGGCTCATTTGCTACTGCTTTAGAAATGGAGGTATTTTTCCTAACATTTCTCTCTTAAAATTACCTCCTGGAAATCTTAGATAATAGACTTAAATATATACAGATACAAGGTAAAAGTTAATTTATAATCCCATACTTCTAACTACTATGGACATATCTGAGGGGTTTTTCTCAACTGTATTCACATTATAGTAATAATTTATGTCCTAGATTTTGTCACATCATACTGTGCCATAAGTAAACATTTATACTATGTGTAATTTCAGAACAGTAGGCATCCTGCTTCATCATTGGGCATTTTTATTCTAGTATGAATGGCCCTGAGCTATGGATAACTAGTTCCATTTCTTACTACGTACTGTAAGTTATGATGCAGTTCACACTATGCATCTTGACAGCTTTTGCCTGTTTGAGATTGTTTTCTCCTAGTTCATGTTTAGAATAGACATAAAAGCTCATTGAGCTCCAACAAGTTTTGGTCTTAAAGTGTGTATTCAGGGACAGAGTTCTTTGTCTTTCAGTGGAGAACTTAGCTGTTCATCAGGCTATAATTGCTTTGACAAGCTAAAAACTGAGTGTTCCTGCTACCAGATATTTTCCAAGAAGCCACCAGAGCAATTAAAATGCTAACTTACAAGTTTTATTTGTTCACACCCTAACAGAACTGATTTTTTTTTAATTTGAAAACTTGACTCTGTCTGGATTCATGAGTTTGCAGTCATAGTCTTACAGTGTGTGTTTGAGAGACAGACACAATTTCAGGATGGAGGTCACCTCAGGAGCGGCAGAGGAAAGGAGTGGGGATAAGGGAGGTGGCCAGCAGTCGCACTCGGGCTAAAAGCAGGCCAGGCTGGTGGTGTGCAGCTGGTGTGCATGTGAGGTGCCGCGTGACCTCTTCCTCCTCAGTCCTCTCTGTCAGCAAACAGAATGAAACAAAGAAAGAATGTGTGGTGCCAGGAACCACCGAGCATCGAGAGTGGCACACCTGCCTCAGAGCCTCCTGAGCGATGACAATGCAGAAAACTGTGTGCCGTGTCACTCATGCCTGCGAGTGTGGACCCTGTCATGCGAGATGAGGTCTAGTGTCATCTAATTTTGTTCAGAAATGCATGATTATAGAGAGAGTTAGTGCATGGCAAACTAGAAATAGGTTGCCTCTGTCCTCAGACAGTCCGAATTTGGTTCTGCTAATCGTTGGACTGAGTAGGAACATTTAAAAATAGTTGACCACTGTTTACTTGTGTGCGTGTGAATTGGGCCTACCCTGCACCTCAGCTTTTTCTTCCACTCAAGTATGACTTGTTTACTTCCCCAAAATAATGTTTTGCTATTTAGGAAAGCAAGAGCCCTAGAATTTTTCATTTCTTTATGAATGGGTGCCCTCCCCTCAAAGGGCCCTCTGTATAGATGCAGAATCTGTGAGACATGCTCTTGGAATGTCTTTGTAGGCTAGCAGTGCCGCTCCCGTTACCTAGCTGAGCTCAAGGACTCCTGTGCTACTGCATCTGAGGGAGTCCGGGGCCCTGGACAGTGTAGCTCCGACATGGGAAATCCTGGGGTGAAAGTCAGGAGAAGCGGTCTGGGTTCCGCACCAGTGCCAGCAGCAGGCGTGGGCATATCCATCTGCTTTCTTATTTGAAAATGAATTGCTTAAGTTAAAAACTACGTTACTGAGTTCTGAGACCTGTATCTGTGTCCTCAGTGTCCCAGAAAAGCACTTGAGCCACTGTTAGCCGACTTCCCCCCTTTCTTTCCCTCTCTGACTTCCCCAATAACAATGGGCCATGTTGCCACCTCCCACCAAACCATGGGTGGGGTTCACCCTCAGAACCACTAGAAACCAAACATAGCCAGTGCCAGGAACAATCATGCATACATCATAGTGCACTCGGGTCCAAGTTACTACAAATGGACTCCTGCATGAAAACTCCAGGTACAAAAGCCAACCCCACAGTCCAGCTAAAAGTTCACAACAGGAGTAGCTTTCCTACCAGTTATTTTGGAAGGAAGCGGGACCATAGTTCAGCTGTTGAAGAACCAGCCACCAATTACTTCCTTGAGGACAACTTTCTAGCAGAACACACGCTCTGCTGACAGCAGCTCCAAGGACATTCCTGGACTCAGTGAGCAAGGAAACTGACAGTGATTTACAAACCCTCCATACTGTAACAGTGCATGAAGACGTGTGGATTTGGGTCCTAGCTCCTCCAAAGGCTGAGACAGGGCAGTCGTCTGAGTCCAGCCACCCTAGGCAACTATGAGACTGTCTCAAAACAACCAAACTGTTTACAGTAACTGCTGGCTCCATGTTTCACCACACACTTTTAAACAGTGAGTGTTCAACTTCACGTTGCCCTCATTTGGTGTTGCTTGACTCCTTTTAGTTATTTAACAAAGAGGTAGAGCAGGAAAGTGAAAAGTTACAGTCAAGACACCAATTCTTCCGATTTTAAAACATGTTTCCCTTAAGAAATTCATAGATCTCTGGGCAGTGGTGGCACATGCCTTTAATCCCAGCACTCGGGAGGCAGAGACAGGTGGATCTCTGTGAGTTCAAGACCAGCCTGGTCTACAAGAGCTAGTTCCAGGACAGCCTCCAAAACCACAGAGAAACCCTGTCTCGAAACCGCCCCCCAAAAAAATTCATTAAGTTTTCAGGGTTTTCTTTTCTTTCTATTTGTGGGGTGTGTGTATGTGTGTGTGTGTGTGTGTGTGTGTGTGTAGAGAGAGAGAGAGAGAGAGAGAGAGAGAGAGAGAGAGAGAGAGAGAGAGAGAGAGAGAGAATCTTAAGAGGAGCCTCAGTTTCCACCCTGCTGGCCTCTGCCACCCTTGACTCCTGCATTGGTGTTGAGGGAGCCTAGTCATCCATGCATGGGCACCTCCCTTGTGGAGGTTGGCCAGTCATTCTGGAACAGAAGCAAGCTAGCTGTCTCTAAGATTACCAGTTATTGGTGTGTGTGTGTGTGTGTGTGTGTGTGTGTGTAAGAATATTTTTACTTCTGTGGAATGGACGTGTACATGGGCAACTCCATGTCCCGTGTACAAAAATGTTCCTGTGGACAGCAAAGCTGGGGCAAGCCCTTCTGGGCCTCCTTAGCTTAGACCCTTCCTGGTGAAAAGAGTTTGGGTGAGATCAGTGACAATATATGCAAGGTTTAATTCATAAGAAGCATTCGAATTTAAAATGAAGAACAAAATATTTTGTTTCCCAAATTAAAAATGTTTGAATGTGGCTACTGCCTTTTTCTTTGTGCTTGGAAACTCCATAAATTATATTTCTGAGACCTGTATGTAAACTGAGGGATGCAGGCAATAAGACAACCCAAAGAGCAACAGGCAGTTTTCCTGTGTTTACATTTGTTTAGAAGTACTTTGAAATCACATTTCTTAGGAGGGGAGCAACATCTATTCTGTACACATCAGTCAGCATGGGGCTTCCACCCTGGGTTCTCCTACACTTCAACTCAGGGTCCTGCCACCCCACCCCATGAAGCCTCGGACAGTCAGGGCCAATATGAGAGTCTGGTGAACAGAGGGCTCAGGAGCCATAAACAAAACACTAAGGGAAGTTGTTGAAGCCTGCAAACAGCCTGAACATTTTTGCTAAGTTTTGATGTAGGTTGTGGGCTCTAGAATTCATCCAGCATGCCTGCCTGCAAACTCCACCAGGCTTCTAAAAGAAGCTTGCTTTGCCCAGTGTACCTAGTCTCTCTTTCATTTTTAAACAGTGCTTTTGTGAGTTATTTATGTAGTTGCCACAAAACGCCAGGCAATCTGTAGTTAGAACTTTAGCAGTTCTCTTATAAACAAATGTCAACCAGAAAAGGCAAGAGTGTGGCTGGTGATTCCCACCATACTCTCGGGTGTTCTGTGAAGAGCAGACATTTGTGTAGCCGTGCAAACAAGCCTGGAATACCTTCTTTTGTAGGTAACAATTTTAGTTTATTGTAGCAAAAGCCATGTCTATAAAAATTCGCATGTTGACCATTTTAAAAGATAGGGCTCAGTGTTTAGAGTTGTCACCCCCCACGGAGTTATATCAGAATGTTCCAGCACCCCAGAAGGAAACCATTTGCACTAGGCAGTCTCTCCATTCCTTTCTCCTCTAGGCTTGGAAGCCACCAGTCTGCTTCTGTGGGTCTGCCTGTTTTAGAAAGTTTGTATAAACGGAATCAAATCCATGTTGTTCAGCACATTGTTCCTTGTAATGTCCATGACAGGTTCTGTGGCGTGGACATCTACTCATCCGTTGGTGGGTACTCAGGCTGTAAATACTTCTGGCTGGTGCTACTCCTGCTGTCAACACTGGAGCATGGTGTTTATTTGAACAATCCTTTTCTCTGTGTTGGGACAGCATTTTTAAGTCACACGGTCACTCACTGCTTAGCTAAGCAAATAGATGCCATAAATGGCAGCTACGCTGTTGTGCGTTCCAGCTCGCAGTGTCTTCTTGTGCTCAGCACGTATTTTCTGTTTTACATTTCAGTGCCTGTACCAGTGGTGTGAAACGACACCTTACTGCAGTGTGACCTGCATTGCCCTAAGTCTCTTTTTTTGTGCATTACTGGTTACTTTTATTCCTCTTTGGAGAAAGCTCTACTCAAATCCTTTGCCACATGGATGGATTATGCCTTGTTGTTGAGTTGTAAGAGTTCTTTATATAGTCTAGATATGAGATCAGTAAGATAAGACTTGCCGATATTTTCTTCCCGGCCCCCCAACAGTGTCTTTTATACAGAAGTGTTAACTGTTAGTGAAGTTCATCTGATGGGCAAGGCCATGAATGTGTCCTCTCCAGTTTTCTCCAAATGTCTGAGACCTTTGGTTCATTTTTAATGATTTTTGTGTAGGGTGTGAGGTGAGGACCCAGGTTCATTCTGGAATGTTTTTTATCTGGAAAGAATTGAACTTTGTCAAATTCTAAATAATTAAAATGGCCATGTGGTTTTCCTGTGTTCACTCCATGTGATATCAGCTTCCTAGGGCCATAGCAAAGTACCATAGAGGGCTTGAAAGAACAGAAGTATGTTCTCTCCCAGTTTGCAAACCAGAGAAGTCCAACGCTAAGGTGCCAGTAGAGTTGGTTCTTTTACAAGGCTTCAAGGAGGATCTTTCCATCCTGTCTCTAATTTTTGGTGATTGCCAGCAGTCTTTCTTGTAGACACATCACTCCATTCCATGGCTTCATGTGACACATTCCTCTCTGTATGCCTGTATATCTCTGGATCTGAAGTTTCTTGTTACCAATCATTAGATTGGAGTCTTTTAACCCGGTATGACCTCATCTTAGCCTGATGGATCTGCAAATTTCACGTTGCCATAGAAAATGACACCGTTGGGTGCTGAGGGTTAGGCTATAGCATCTGTATGGGTTACACTATATCTGGTGTTTCACTGTCTTATGAGGAGCTAAGTTCCTCTTGGTCATTCTATATGACCCTGTTAATTGCCTTTTAATTCATATCTGGCTTTTGAATGTCAAGGTTTTGCTGGCCTCATCCAATGGGCTAAGAACATTCCTCCTTCTCTGAAGAATTTAAGAAACACTGCATTTTTTTTTTCTTTAAATGTTAGTAGAAATTTATCAGTGAAAGTCAGCCGGCCTGGGCTTTTCATTGTTGTGGGTTTGGGTTACCGACTTGATCTCTTATAATAGGTTTGCTGAAATTTTCTATTTCTTGAAGAATTTGAACATTTTTTTCTTATCTAGCTGTGCTGGCCAATAGCATTTGTCTTCTTGACAGGACCCAAATAAACGAAGAGACAATACTCTGGGCACGTCTCTGAGGGACTACCTAGGTTGGTTTGCTTGAGTTGGGATGACCCACCCTAAATGTAGGCAGTGTCTTTCCATGGGCAGGAGTCAGAGACTGGGTAAGAGGGAGAGAAGAAACAGTGCTGGCCTTGCTGTCTCTCACCCTAACTGTGGGTAGGGCAGCCTCCACACACTGGGACCAGACACTAGTGCATTCTCTGAGTTGGACCACTATTCATGGCTTTTGTTTCAGTAAAGTTATGCTCCACTTCAAGTTTAGCTTTTCAGAATGCAGCTCTTACCAATGCAGCCTGAGGCTTGTCAAGGTGGTTCATCTCTAGAGCCCGTTTTCTGGTGTTAGTCATTCCCTGTGGTTTTCTCTCCTCCCTGTCTGTCCCTTTGTTTATGGCTTTGATTCACTGCTTTTCCTAGTTCCTTAAAGTGTGATGTTATCTTTCTTCTGAATGTAGGCATTTACAGCTGTGATGATTGGCCGGCCTGAATGCTGTTTCTCATGTTTTCATTTTCACTGGTCTCAAGGTGTTTACCGATCACCCTTGTGCTTTCTTGTTCCAGTAGCTAGGTAGAGCCTAAGATACTGTGTAACCAGGAGGCCAAAGCCTCATCCTTGTCACCTTATGGTTCTGGACCTGCTGGGTGGAAGTCTGGAGAGCCTCTTGCTGGCCTGTGTGGGTCCCTGGCCTTCTGGGGGTGGAGTTACTGTGGTTAACAGTACTAGAGATTGTTCCATCATGAGCCCTAAGGAACACAGGGGCCAGAGCCTTCTCAGGGGAGCCTGTTCTGCTTAGCTCCTGCTGAGGAAGCGGATGCCCCAAGGCAGGTGATGGAGCAAACAAGCAAAGATTAGTTTGTCATATTCCTGTCACTTGTGTATGAACATTTTAGTAAGGCATCGCTCAAATGTTTCTTCTGTTTTAGGTGTTTGTGGCCAGTCCTCACAAAACACAGCCAATCGTGGAGATACTGTTAAAAAATCAGCCCAAACTCATTGAATTTCTGAGCAGCTTCCAGAAAGAAAGGACAGATGACGAGCAGTTTGCAGATGAGAAGAACTACCTGATTAAACAGATTCGAGACTTGAAGAAAGCAGCCCCGTGAAGACGGGCCTGCCCTGACAGCCATCTGTCTCCCTTGCCCAGTGGGCACAGTGCCGCTTCAACAGTCTCCATCCTTGGGAGGCTTTGGAGGTGCCTGGTTTCTCAATTGATTATTCAAGGTAGATGGAATATAAACATTTGAATGGAAAAAAATCAACCTAGAATAATATATTCATTTTAATCAAGTCTGTGATTGCTTATGTGAAATCAACCATTATATTAAACGTTGATAAAAGCAGGTGTAACTCAGAGCTGGACACTGGGTCACCCAGGCCACCAAGTAGAAGGAGCACAAGTGTCTCTTGTGGCAGAATGGGGAGGGAACCTTCTGTGTGTGTTTAGACAGGCTGTTTCAGGCACTAGAGAGATATGCACTTTGACACCCTGCCTGCTACCTTCTAACTGTGGTAAGTGGCTCCTGGCTTCCAGAGGAACGGTGCTCAGTTTCTGCTCGCTGCCCCTCTTTGTGTCCCAGCCTTGATCCAGGGCCCATGCCCATTCCAACTGTAGAGCAACTGAGGACCAGGTGAAATCAGCTGGGGCCACGTGGGCCGAGAACATGCATGGGCGTGACTTTTCAGAGAACTGCAAACAGGTGACTGTAGAGTCACTGCTGTTCTGTATGCCCCTGAGGAGGGTCAGTGAGTGTGGGGACATTTCACTAGCGTCTGTTGTCTAGAGAGAGTGCTCTGTGGGGACTGTTTTGAGAGGGGAATCACAGTGGGTGCAAAGCCTGGGACTGGAGGCTGTGGTAGACTTTGATCAGGAGAGGACGGAGTGATTCGTGCATAAAAATTTCTCTAATGACCAGAGGTTCTCTTGTCCAGTTTGTTCTGTAATAAACTCTCAGTCTGTGCCTGCCCATCAGTGTCTTCAGTGAGAACCTCCCGAATGCCCTCTTGTGTACTGGGATAACCAAGGTGTTCATCTGTGTCCCTTGACAGGCATACAAAGAAAAATTAATTTTTGAAGTTCATGATTTGTCTTCAGACCTCAAACCTCTACAATGGCATTTTGAAGTGACACTGAACCTGCGATTGCTTCTCTGCTCTCTGTGCCCTGAATTCCTATGGCACTTGGCTGCTGTCTTCTTTATGTCTCCAGCCAGAGACAGGCAGGGAAGTGTGTTCTCCAGGATGAATGCCTCTCGTGGTTTCCCACCCAGAGAATTCCCTGGCAGGGCACTTTACCTTTGACTGGGGTCCAGGTGTGTTGCTTCCACGCAGCCCCTGGTGACCTGTATTCTTCAGTCACAGGAGTCAGATTATTTTTATAATGTTCCCTGATAGTCCAGAGTCCCTTAGAGTTTGTCCTTTCTGGATTTGCTTATTTGATTAAAAGATGAGAAAAATGTTTTTAATGTGTTTCTGTAGCATCATGGGACACAGACAAGGCCGTGTTCTAATTTTATTTCAGTTAGAAACATCTCTTTCTCTGGGTTTGAATCTGCTCTCTCAGCCTCCCTCTGTCATGGCTGTGCGCCTGCCCAGAGGAAAACTTTAGAGCCCGAGATGCAGTCAAGGAGGCAGCCGGGGTGTTGGTGGGAGTCTGTAAGTTATCCAGGGGCACTGGAGCTCGCCATCATGCTGTGGGAACACAGGTCATCACACATACTGTGAAACGTGAGTTTGGAAAAGGTCACATTTCATAAGAAGCATGGTTTAAAGACTGCATGAAAAGCAGTAGTTGGGTTCTTGTCCTGGCTCCAAACAGGAAAGGCCCCAGGCCAGGAGAGCCCCAAGGCCACACAGAGCCCCCAGTGCTACCATCCAGTGCACTGTAACACAACAGTGACATGCCGTGACCAAGCACCAGCCAGCATGTGTGAAATCCCACTGTTCTGTCTCCTCCCGTTAGCAGTTAGTGATGGAGGTCGTGAGAAGAATGTTCCATACTTAGTTAGGGTAGGACACACCCCACAGATGCCCAGAGTGACCTGAGGCCCAGCTTCTGTCCTTTTTAAAACTAGCGCCAGGGCTATGACCTGAGAAAGGTCATGGTGTTGAGCTATGTAGTGTTCTACTGAGACCTGGGAGGTTCTTGGTGTCAGGGTCCTGGAATGTAGCCAGTGGGGATTGAGATCACAATGTTCTTGGATAAGGCTCTTGGCTAAAACCAGGCATCTGCCCAAAGTTAGGACCGTTCCTGGAGAAAAGGCTGGGAAGCAGCATCCACTCCTTGTAAATGTTCTTGACTCGAAACCTCGGCCATTCCTCATCCTGTGGTGCCTCTGGGGAATGACGTGTGAGCATCTCCAAGTGTCCATCACTAGCCGCTGGCTGTTAGGAGCCTTTAGCAGCAGATGCAGCTGCGTGGCCACAGTGGCACCTGAAAAGTACACAAGTCCCAGAAGTGATTATAACATGAAGGGAAGAGAATTTGGAACCACAAGTGTCCAAATAATGGGTCTCATTACGACGTCCACCCTGAACTGTCTCCACGTGAAAAGATGGTTGCTTCACTTGCAGATCACGCTAGTTTATGGTATCAGAGACAATTAGCATTTTATGCATCTTGCTTCTTTTTCTGCTCCTCTGCCTGTGCGGTGCCATCTGCTCACTGGCATTCCTTCAGGAAGGTTTTGGATATTGTAATGAGAGTTCACCATTAGATAAAGGTTTGCCTGAGGTGACTGAAGAGGATGAAGGTGGTTTTGTAGAGGGCTGTGCTTTAATTTTGACTTGTGGAGAATGTTTGTGTGTGGGGAATATTTGTGTGGAGAATGTCTGTGTGTGGAGAATGTGTGTGGGGAATATTTGTGTGGAGAATGTCTGTGTGTGGAGAATGTCTGTGTGGAGAATGTCTGTGTGTGGAGAATGTCTGTGTGTGGAGAATGTCTGTGTGGAGAATGTCTGTTTGTGTGGAGAATGTCTGTGTGTGGAGAATGTCTGTGTGTGGAGAATGTCTGTGTGTGGAGAATGTCTGTGTGGAGAATGTCTGTGTGTGGAGAATGTCTGTGTGTGGAGAATGTCTGTGTGTAGAGAATGTCTATGTGGAGAATGTCTGTGTGTGGAGAATGTCTGTGTGTGGAGAATGTCTCTGTGTGGAGAATGTCTCTGTGTGGAGAATGTCTGTGTGTGGAGAATGTCTATGTGGAGAATGTCTGTGTGTGGAGAATGTCTGTGTGTGGAGAATGTCTGTGTGGAGAATGTCTGTGTGTGGAGAATGTCTGTGTGTGGAGAATGTCTGTGTGGAGAATGTCTGTCTGTGTGGAGAATGTCTGTGTGTGGAGAATGTCTGTGTGGAGAATGTCTGTGTGGAGAATGTCTGTGTGTGGAGAATGTCTGTGTGTGGAGAATGTCTGTGTGTAGAGAATGTCTATGTGGAGAATGTCTGTGTGTGGAGAATGTCTGTGTGTGGAGAATGTCTCTGTGTGGAGAATGTCTCTGTGTGGAGAATGTCTGTGTGTGGAGAATGTCTATGTGGAGAATGTCTGTGTGTGGAGAATGTCTGTGTGTGGAGAATGTCTGTGTGTGGAGAATGTGTGTGGAGAGAGTTTCTGTGTGTGAATTAAGTCTGTGTGGGAGCTGCCATGATTAAAGCATAGCCGTTAGCCTGCCTATGCTGGGTCATGCAGACATAGCCACAACTCTCATGGCAGAGAACACATAGAGCCTCAGACAGTGTGACGGGCCTGCTCCTGATCAAGCAACTAGCAGTAGAGCCAGGATCAGGGCCAGCTCTGACCCCAAAGTCTGAATCTTGCAAGACAGGCTGTCTCCACTAGGCCAAGCCTCAGCCTCCCTCCCAGACAGGCCCTTCGTTCCCCATGGTCCAAAAGGAGAAACCCAGATCCAGCCATTACCAGACAACTCCTAACTGCTCACAGGCATGCATCTGGGCCCCTCCCAGGCCTGCCTGTCGACCACAGCTCATCATCCAAAGCCTCAGTAGTGCGTCACTACAAAGAATGGGTTAACATTTAGAAAAGTTGCATCCATGGGCCATGTCTGCACCTACAACCCTAACAAAGTCAGAGACTGAAGCAGGAGGACCATTTGAGCTCAGGAACTCTAGCCCAACCTGGGCAGTCTGGTAAGACCTATCTCAAAAGGGGAGTGCCAGGCAGGAGGTGTAACTGAAGTGGTATATGTTTACCTAGCAAGCACGAAACCACTGGTTCAGTCAATGTAAAAACCAGGCATGCTAGCATTCAGGAGATGGTCAAAGTCATGGTCCTCAACTACATAGCAAGTTCAAGACCAGTCCGGGATACATGAGACGCTATCAAACAAACAAAAATAGCCACAAAAAAAAAAAAAAGAAATACCACCACGTCTAAGGAGTTGACCACAGAGCCAGGTCTCACTGTGTGTCCAGCCTGCCCTCTTGACTCAGGACTCAGAGGAAGGGCAAAGCCCTAACTGCAGACTGTTGTCTCTGTCAGGGAGGAGAGCGCCTGCCCTTTCTGCAGGCACAGTGTGACATTCACATGGCCATGCCCTGCCCTGCCGGGATGAATGAGCTTCTGTGTTGCCTGGGGTGTGGGAGGGAAAATTTGGGCACACCCACAGCTGGCTGGCCGGCTTCTGGCAGCTCCGGCTCTGACCCTGACCTTGACTAGGGCAGAGCAGCTTTACCCAGCTGTCAGTTTGCTGTGCCCATCTGAATCCAGGTGGAGCATGTGGCCAGCAGCCAGGGGATGTACGCGATAAGAAAGCCAGGGCAGAGAAAGTGTACAGTGCCCCCGAGCCTCCATATGAAAGGCTCCCGCCCTAGCCACAGCCCCTCAGGCCAGATGATGTCCCTCTCCCACAAAGGGTCTCCTCTATTGGGGCCTACTGACCTTGGAAGACAAGTGTGTCAGTTTACTATAAAATGAGACATCCTTGGGTTCAGCTGGGAGCAGTGCCAGGGGAAGTGAGGCTAGGTTTGCCCTCTAAACAGTGGCTGATCTGGGAACAAAGGCTGCAGGAGAACCAAAGCCCAAAGGAGCCTGCGTCCGGCTGCGAGTGTCCCCACTTGTCTCTTCCCAGGTGGCTGAACAACCCAGGCCAGCTCCCAGGTACCTGCATCTCTCCAACTCAGGGAAGGGAGGGGACATCCTTGGCACTCAGGAACTTGTGCTGCTCTCTCCTAAAGTGGGTGGGTAAGAGGCTCAGTTAGTGCCACTCCTACCTGGGCACAAAGAGAGGTCACCTTTTGCCCTGAGGTGTCTGTGTAACCCTGGGGTTCTGTCCACACACCTGTGCTCAAAGAAAATCAGCCCTAACCCTTCAGGCTGGTACTGGACTCCTCCTCTGAGATTCTCAAAATCTAGTTTAGAAGAAACTGCCCACATGGAAGAAGGAAGGCCTGCTGTGGAGGAAATAGAAGAGGACCGACATGTTCACAGGATGGTTGGCGTCACCTCTTGTCTCTCCAACTCCTTTCCATGTTTTCAGTGGTCTAGGTCCTTCCTCAGTGGTTCTCAACCTTCCTAATGCTGTGACTCTTAGATACAGTTCTTTACTTTGTTGCTGCTTTCTAACTGTAATTTTGCTACTGTTATGAATCCTTGCATAATTATCTGCTATGCAGGATATCTGATATACGGCCCACAGGTTGAGAACCACTGCTTTAGCTGATAACTGGTTTCCATCTGTCCTTGCAGAGTCTGAATCCTCTGCCCCCTCAACACCTCAGCTTGTCCAGGCTGGGAGAGCGATTTCCCATAGTCCACTATCCTATCTGTCTGGACCTCTAGGCTCTCCCTTCAGTATTTCTCAATGCTTGTTATTGAACTTATCAGAGTGCACATCTTCAGATACTAGTCTCCTATCACCCTCTCCTGCTCTGCTAACCTGCGGGCTCACCCCTGAAAGCTCATCCTTTCAATGTATTGCCTCGGCAGCCACAGATTCCCTGCCCCCTTGTCTTTTG